TCCAATGCTGCGGCGGCAGTTGTCTCCCAGGCCGCCGCCTGATTTTCCGCCGAGTCGTGGACTAGATCCTCCGGATATGGCCCAAGCTCCATCAGGAACCTCTCAGGGTCCATCAGTCGCCTGGGACGGAACCATCTAGGGGGTTCCGTCTCCCTGCGGCGAGGGGGAGCGGTCCGGAAGACCAACCTTAGGAGAGAATTGAATAAGGCAATTGACTCTGCTCTTCCATAGGAATGTTTTTTGCTTGCTAGCAAAGAATTTGGACAATTGATGAATTTACAAAACAAAAGATAAAAGTAACATGATTGGGTTCCTGATTGTAACCATGCAAATACAGATGTGATGTGTACATGAAATTATAGCATAAAAGGGACAGAAGGGGAAGTTTGTTTTTCCCTTTTGCTTTGTTTGAACCTTCCACTATTGGATTATAACAATGATGACTCATGATTGAATGGGAGAAAAGAGTTTTGCAAACAGCCGTCAGAGAAAGTAATGACATTAGATTTACTCCAAAAGTGTTTGATCAACTTGGCAAAAAACTGGCTGAGTCTTTGGAAAAAACTAGATGAAGACACAGAGGTGGAGATAAATGGTTTACAGAATAAATTCAAGATTTACAAGAATGAGAAATGTTCCAAGGGACATTTTGGTCCATTCTGCGAGAAAGAAGACAAAGGATCAAGTCCTGCAACATTTTAATATGAAACTGAAGATTGATAATGCAGATATAATTGTCCTAAAAGAAATTCCTATAAATCTCTATGTAGAGGAAAAAATACTCCTTCTTGACTGAAAGATTAATGAAAAAAAAGATTCCATTTCAATGGGATAAATTAGGTGTGAATTTTTTACTTTTAGATGGGAGACATTTTGACTGAATTCTATTCAAAAGACAACATAATTTTTAGAAAACTTTAAAGAAGAACTGAAAGGTTGTAGAGGAGACAATACAAAAATCACAACAGAAGAGATCATTTTGAATTACAGTTACAGGCACTGATTTTTCTAATTTTTTGGCTTAATTATGGACTACAATGGTCTCACATGGACTATAAATGGAGCACTCTTTGCAAGATGCAATGAATTCGATTTTACAAGGGAAAAAGGCTAGACACTTGCAGTAATATAGCACTATACCTAAAGTGGGACAAGATTTGACTTCAACAACAAGTTATAGACTAATATCATTATTGAATTATTATAAGTTGTTCACAATGAACATAGCTGATAGATTGTAAATATCTATTTTATTCATGAAGGTCAATATAAGTTTTTATCTGAAAGATAGTTAAAAGATAATATTAAACATTATTGTGGAATATCTGGAACAACATAATGAGAAACAAGCTGCATTGTTATTTTTTTACATGCAGAGAAAGGTTTTGACAATTTGAACTGGATTCTATTATTTAAAGTTTTGGAATGGAATTTTAGAGATAATTTTATAAAGTGAGTAAAGTAGATTTATACTTTGTTGAAAACACAAATTATTGTTAAAGAAGATCTAACAAAAGCACAGGCAAGACCAAAAGGAACAAGGCAGGGCTGTCCACTGTCCCCTCTCCTGCTGAGTTTGGTTCTCAAAATTTTGAATAGAGACATTAGATAGGATGAGAGGACTATGGGAGGGAAATTTTTTAAAAGAGACTTATAAGTGAAGATGTTTTGCAGATGCTGGCTTTGATGCTAGTTTTGGAAGATTCTTTAAAGGGAACTGAAATATTAACTAAAAGAAGTGGTTGCTGTTGTTGTTAACATATGGTATTGTTACATTAGCAAGGAGACCACAATGCTATTGCAGAGAATTATTTTGGCCTCCAAGAGAATTATTTTGGCCTTGTTGTAGATGTGCTTGAGCGCTTCCTGAAATGCGCCACAGGAGGGTTCGTAGCAGAAAGACAAGCTACTCTCTTGCAGTGTCATCCTAGGCCCCCTCCCTTCCCCAGAGCTGTCTTGTAAACAGGGAAGGTTCAGAGCAGAGACCATATCCAGCACCATCAAGCCACTGTGCCTCTAAAAGAACTGATGCGTTGACGGGTTTTAAAGTTAACAAACAGAAGACAAAGATGTTAACAAAAACTAAAAAAATATAAGATAAAAATAATAATGAATAAAATGGGTTTTAAGATTGAGAAGTAGGTAAAATACTTGGGTATTAACATGACAAATATGAATTGTATCTTATTTCAAAATAATTATGCTAAGACATGGAATGAAATAAAAATATGTTAAGATGGGTGAGAACACAAAGGGGGAGAAATTCTACAATTAACCTGAATAAGTATTATTTTTTGTTCTATTTGGACATTGCATATCAATTATGCAATGGTGGAAAGATATATCTAAATTTGTGCTACAGGAAAAAAAAATCATGAGTTATATATAAGGTGTTACCAGATACAAAAAAAGTGAGGAGATTACCTGAGTTGAAATTATATTTTACAGGTTGCTGTTTATAATTTGGATGAAAGAGTGGATGTTGCTGAGAAACAGGGGGCTTTTGGAACTAGAAGAACATGATCTTTGGAGGGCATGGATATTTATGGTATAATAAAGCTAAGGTTAATATAGATTTTAAAAATAATTTTGTTAGATGTGCAATATTGAAAATATGGAACAGAATGAACCCAGATTGTACCTAAAAATATCTTTGTAGCTGTCAGCACCAGATGAATTTCATTGAAGAAAAATGATAACTAAGCACAAATGATTAACCTATGGAGAGATATTGCAATTTTTGTTAAGAAGAATCCAAAATAAAATCAAGAGAATATCTGGAAACAGAAGGCTACACTTGTCAATGGTTTTCTCATGTAAAAAGATTTAGGTATTGGTTTTAAGTATTGTTAAGACTGAGTTTGAACTAGAACTGTGTACAAAGGATGCACATGTTATCATTAAAATAGAACAAGAGGTTAATTTGCATCTATACCTATAACTGCTGTAAAAAAAGAAGCTGCTTTTTTATATTTTGTTTCTTTTTTTTCCTGCACTTTTCGCTTTGCCTTTTTCTTCCTTATTTTTTTCTTTTTTTAAATTTTAGTTCTTGATAATTTTTCTCTTTCTTTTTAAAACTTTTAATAAACTTAAATGACTAAAACTCTAGTTCAACTGCTGACAGACCAAACACTTGAAGAAGCTACTGTTCTGATCAGGTATATTGTCTTCTTTCCAGTGTTATTTCTTTTAGCTAATTTCTATTTCTAAAAATCCAAAAATCTTGAAAGTTGTTATTTTTTTAAACAGATGAATATTCAGGGATGACATTTCTTTCTTGGCAATCTCAAGTGATAAAGCTCACTTCTTTCTCAGATGTTCTTCTATTCTTTATGCATAAATAGAGATCTCAGAAAACATTCAAATGAATCTGAAAACCTTTAAGTTTAATAATTCATCCCACTTTATATATCTGTATAGACCAATTTAAATTTAAACAAAAGACAGGTTGACAGCTTACCTTCAACATAGGTTGGGAAAGAAGCCAAGCTCTTCCTTGACTGTAATTAAGACAAACAGGATATCAAACCAAGCTAAGCATGCTGAGGTTTGCATTAAAAAGCCTTTCATGCAGACCTGGCAAAGTTATTCATCACACAATGACAGTTATTACCCAATCTCTGTAGACAGCCTATTAAGAAATACTTAAACATGTTTCAAAGTATTAGTTCTTTATTAATAAGTTATTCTGGAATGTACACCCCTTAGCATTAATTAAGACTTTCCAGATTTACGTAAGTATATAAATGTTAATATTTCTAACACACAAGATGTTGTTAATAAAAATAATGCAAAGAGTTCAAGGATTTCAATAATGAACAGAAATAATGAACAGAAGATGCCTCTGCCAAAAGCAGGGCTAACAAAGTGGCAGAATGAAAAACCACCGAAGATGCCTATCCAGAGCTCAATTACTTTGTAATTTGTCTCTGGACAAGGAGAGGATTTGAGATCACACACAAGTTGTTCCTCACAAGACAGCAATCTCCAGTGGGTGTTGAGCTCTGGATAGGCATCTTTGTTCAAATTAAGGATGGTGGCTTTATGGACACTGTATTTGCATACTTCTATTTCTAATCACTTTTGAAACTGTTTATTAACTGCTTTTCACCCATTAGGAACTTTTGTATCAATATGTTTTACAGCAGCAGTTGAATTTCTTTTAATCCTTAGTGAAAAAAAAATTAAATATAAATTTAGGGACTTTAAAAATTCATTTTCGGAATAAACAGCAAAAGGGTTATTAGAACTTGGATTTTGAAAACTTACAGATGAAGGGGCTAGATGCATTTGAAGTAAGATTTTGAAATTAATTATAAGAATCCTTCCTGTGGGAAAATTCTATTGTTTTTTAAAAAAAAATAAAAAAAATATTAGGATAGAACTTTGAAGGATGGACACTAGAGGGAACCAGAAGGAACTAAAGATTACAATTAAAGAAAAATGGAGCAAAATACTTTAACATGGGCCTATTGAAGGACACCCTCTGGAATGAACTACCCCCAGAGATCAGGGTGATCCCTGATCTCCCTTCCTTCCGCCGCGCCCTTAAGACATGGTTATTCCAGCTTGCAGGACTGGCCTAGGGGAAAATTTTTAATGGGGGTTTTAAAGTAATTTTAAACTAACTAGACCAATCATTAATATTTATTTTTAATTATGTTTTTAATCTGTAGTTTTTTGGGATTAGCATTTTTATCTGGTTGTTAGCCGCCCTGAGTCCGCAAGGAGAAGGGCGGGATATAAATTAAATTAATAATTTGTGAACAACAGACCCAGAAGTTAATTTTAAGAGTGACTGCCATTATAGACAGACTATGTTTAAAGGATATAATGGAAGAGGAACAATTTTTACCAGACAAGATTGAGACTGATCTAATCGTGGATTTAAAAATGGCAGGCTACAATAATGATATGTAAAAAGATGCTACACTGGATATACAGATGAAACTGACTGATGTTTTAGTAATTAAAAGGGATATACAAATAACAAACCAAAAGAGTGACCTGGATAACTTTCCTATATTGGATTTCCTACATTACATAACAAATTTGTTAAAATTTTGAAGAGTTTTGAGAGAAGGGTCAAAGAAAACATGAAAAGAAACCAAGTTCTAGGAGAGTGGTGGCGAACCTATGGCACGCGTGCCAGAGGCGGCACTCAGAGCCCTCTCTGTGAGCACACGTGTTGTCGCCCCAGCCCTGCCTCCCCCCTGGCCCCCTCCTCACCAGCAGACCCCCTGGAGGAGAGTCACCCCCAGGTGCGGCCTGTGCAGAGCAGCGCAGCCTAGGACATGGCAGCTGGACAGCAGGGACAAGACTCTGCCCTTGCACCCCGTCACGCACAGATGATGCTGCAGGGCGCGGGCAGAGGGCGTGTCTGCCATGGCGCTGCTGGGCTACCTGGGCAATCTGCGGCGGGCCATGGAGGTGGTGGGTGGCCAGGCGGGTGGAGCGGAGTGGGTGGGGCAGAGTGGTGGCAGAGCGGAGTGGTGGCAGGGCGGTTTTTGGGCACTTGGTCTCTAAAAGGTTCGCCATCACTGTTCTAGGACATTATTTGAAAGGAATAAAGATCAAGATTGTTAAAATAAAAGGAAAGAATATAAAATTAATTTTTATTTGTTTGATTTCTATAGCTGTTCTGGGAAGTGTATATCAAAGTTAAAATAGATATGTTGTTATCTCTGGTAATCCTTAATGGTCTTTTGCTGACTAGGATTGAACAATTAGGCTTTAAGGCTTTGTTTATAGCTAAGAGATGAGATATGGGTAGAAGACACCATTTGCTGCATTTTAAGAGAACATGATATATTACTAAAATTGTTTAGATTTGCTGTGATTAAATTATTTCTTTACATATTTCTTTTTTTCTATTTTTCTTTCTAGTTTCTTTCCTTTTCTGCATTTTCTAGTTTTTAATTTTATTCTTTCATTTTTTAGTTTGTCCTAGTTTTTACCTATTTAACTATAATCTATATATTATTAAAACTGTAGTTCCTGTAACCTTTAACTGGGCGAAACAACATCATAGAGTAACAATTTTTAAACCCAGGTACTTCGAATGAGCTAACTTACAGACTGCATTTAAAATCCAGCACCCATGGCTTCTGTGGAAAGTTGGCAAATGTTATAAAATATTTTATGACATAAACATTATCATAAAATGGTTTATGATATAAAACAAAATGTCATAAAAGATTTCTTGTACTGATGTTGATGTGCTATAAAGTTTCAAGGCAGATACATTTCTGAATATATCCCTGATTTTTTATTAACTTTTCCAGTATGTTAAAAACTCTGCCATTGCTGAAGGCACTGTGGAATTTGGTAATGAAATATCTCTGAATCATGACCCAATGGGTCATGGATTGTTTAGTGTTTAATAAAATTACTATTTAAAAAGGATTTATATATCAAGAACTGTGGTAAAAGTTTTAAACTGTCCTTTAGTCAATTCAGACTACTAAACATATGAACACTGAATTCTAAAATATAACATAATTTAGAATTTGCTAGGTTTAGCACAATATGGGAACCCATCCAAATTAAAAAAATCATGATTGATATCAATCACAGTGTATGAGTTTGAACTTTATGCTAAAAAATACCAAATAAATTATGGTTTAGTGTTATTAGCCATAGAGCTGTGGTGGCACAGTGGTTAGAATGCAGTATTGCAGGCTGATTCTGCTGACTGCTGACTTCCAGCAGTTCAGCAGTTCAAGTCTCATAGGCTCACGTTTGACGCAGTCTTCCATCCTAGGTCGGTAAAATGAGGACCCAGATGGTTGGGGGCAATATGCTGACTCTGTAAACCGCTTTGAGAGGGCTGTAAAGCACTATGAAGTGGTGTATAAGTCTAAGTGCTATTGCTATTATTAAATCATGCAGACTGGAATGTAATTCCGAGAATGATATAAAAGATTCAACCACATGTATGTGCAGTTAACCCCAGAATTTATTAGTGACAGAAAGCAGTAAGACATATGCATCTGAGCAGCTTTACAAAAACCCAGATCAATCTTATATTTCAAAATTATTTCTTCAAGACAAAGCCAAATAGCACTAATTTTTAGAGATATTAAAGTATATATTTACTACTAGCAATTTACAACTGAAACTACTTTTCAATGGGTTTCTATTTGTAATTTGGAAAATGATCAAGAGTAATTTAATATTAGCTTTTACTAATAGTTTTACTTCTAAAGTTGAAGCAATAGTTAATTCTTAATTTTGTACTAAAGAATTGGCAGAAAATATTTGCCGGAATAAACTATTTTAACTTAAAATGAATGAAGAGCATCTCTATTATTGGCTTCTTCATCACAAGGATTTTGTGAGCAAGTCAATGAAATTATGTGTTTTATTATTTTGTTATTATTACATATATGATTTTTGATGTGATAAAGATTCATTTGAAAGTAAATAGGTTTGTCAATGCTGCAATAGCTTAGATCAGTGGTTCTCAACCTTTTTAATGCTGCGACCCCAACTGGTCGTAAGTCGAGGACTAAACCGGTCATAAGTTGAGGACTACCCAACTGGTCGTAAGTCGAGGACTTTCCCTGCCCGGGAGTGCTGCGCATGCATGGTTCCGCCCCCTGCGCCAGCCGAGGCGTAGCTGGCAAGTGGCAGAGACGGAGCAGGCCAACCACCAGCTGGCCCAGCCCAAGGGAGGTAAGGCACCCGCTGGAAAAGGGAAAAAAATGGCAGACAAAAAAAATGGCGGACAGCCTTGCTTGGCGACCCCCGTGAAATGGTCGATCGACCCCAAATGGGGTCCCGACCCACAGGTTGAGAACCACTGGCTTAGATTAAGACAACAGCAGATCCAAGTGAGAAAAAAATTATTACCAAATAGTAGAAAAAAGTTTGATAACAAGGCAGTTTCTGAAAATTAAGCATTAGGTAAAATTCTGACATGTTTCTAAAGAAGAAATTGTCACTGGGATCATCACGGATCCATTACATGCCTGCAATTATTTTTGATCCTTTTGTACTAATAAGCCCTTTAAATAATTTATACAATTGCAATGAACAGGTTATAGTACATTGTCTACTGCATTCAATAGGCGTGATAATAAAGCAGCGTAATTAGATGTAAAGTTTCTGAAAACAGTTTACTATGATGTGCACAAACTTAATCTAGCTGATAATTATTCTGGCTACTGTTATTACTGTAAGTCTAGACTCCTTCTGAAATAGAATATGTATGGTGAAAGAAAGGATGACATTTATAATCTTTGTAACAAAGAGCACTGCGTGCAATATTCTGATTAATCTTGCCTTAATTTAAGCGTTTGGTTTTATACAAAAATAATTATATAATGCTATTCCACTGTCCACTACCTTGAACCATTGGTGTTGGTTGTGTTAGGTTCTCTTACAAAAGGAAATGAAGACAAAAAAAGAAAAGGGGAAAATTGTCAGAGATAAAACATGTCACAACTAACTTTGGGCTCTGATTACTTACTTTAGCTTGCCCTCCAATGTGGCCCCTGGCAGATTAGTTTGAAGAAATGCAACTACAAACAGGAAGGTTCCCCATTTGGCGGTAACACAGCAGATTATGAAATTCTGGGTATTTCCTAAAAGATTACTCCAGCAGCTACCAGTTTAAGTTCTGGGGTAGCTATTCTGTTTTTCTCCCTTTCATAGCAAATACCATGGGGGGGAAAACAAAGGGAAAAAAATATGGTATCGAAGAAAAACTTGACTGGAGGCATCAGAGAACAGATTCATATTGGAATTTTCATTAATGTCACAGTAAATGTTAATATACTAACCCTGAGGAATTCCATAAGTAATTATAGAAGTATGTATCATTTTCAGATGTAGTTACTAGATTCATTCTTTTGATACTGGATTAAAAAAGCTATTTTTTTTCAAACATAGAAGAATTTAAAAAAGCAAGTCTCCTATACTTTAGAAAACTTAACACAGTTTTTAGTGCCGTATTCACAACTTACAATTATTACTTTTGCAGAAAATAATTTAATAGTCCTGAAAATATGAAACAAACATAATGAGAAATGTGTACAGTATGTATGCAAACATCTATTATTAATATTGTAGCATCATTGCTTTAAAGGGTCAATTATTGTGTTTGATTATATAGGGGTATTTGGAATTTCATCTTTTTTGTCAGTTAGAAATCTTTTCTGCTTCTAGGGTACATATTTTGTAGTAGTATTCAACATCTAAGCAGGTGAAGCAGAAATGACTTAATGAATCTGGTTTCAACTGCTAGTTTTGTGCTTTCTTATAGCTTAATAGACTGAATTTCAAAGAATCAAAATTTCTGCTGCCTTTAAAGAACAAAAAGGGAACTTATTTTTATTTGTTGTTTGGAGCAAATGTCTAAACTCTCCTATACAACAAATATTATAAACATTACAAAGAAAGCCATATTATAAACATTACAAAGAAAGAGTGTGTGAGTGAGTGTGAGTGTGAGTGTGTGTGTGTGTAAAAAAAAGCAATGGCTATGTTTTGCCAGTATACTACAAAATATATAACTTTGCCATTATATAACAAAACAACAAAAACATTGCTTTATGGAAAAAGTAGGAAGTAAAGTGACATGAAAATACAATTTCTACTTCTTCTTTATGGAAGATATTTTAAAAGAGAATAAACAAGGTAACCTTTTGGTAACCTATTTTTATAAACCTGCCTACTTACTGACAAACATGAAATTTATTAGCACTGCAGGTAGTGATGAAATCTCGAAATCTTTAAAGAAGAGAAATACATATCCAAAATAGCCATATTTCCAGTTTGTGTAATGCAAACATAAAATTAATCTTGGAAAACTTTTCTAGTAAATGCACTGCTTTTAAGAATATTGCACTCTACCTCCTTATTGGTGGGGGTTTCTGCTGTACCGCAGACATCTTGATGATGTTGTATACTTGACGATTCAGCACCTTGAGGTGAAGATGGATCAGGAGATGGAGACTACAGGATATACAAGGAAATAAAATTCTGAGCGAGTAACATAAAACATTTTACTCTTTTGATCTCAAGTTTCAAAATTGGATTGAGGGTTCAAAAAAAAAATAGTAAACTCTGCAAACTGCAGCAGGCGTAAGATTACCAATTTAACTGAATTCCACAACATTACTACCTTCAGATTTATATTTACTCATGAAGAAATAAAACCGAAAATCACAAACTGTAATACTGAGCTTGAGCAATACTTGGAAATTTAAAGAAAGTGCTTGAAAGCATTTTGGCAACTCTTAAAAGAAACAGCATCTTCTCTCCCTGAAATGGGAGAAAAGGAATGTGTGGTGGCCCTAACCAGCTATAGGGCAATCCCTGCAAAAAGCCATGTTTGTTTTAAGCAGTTGCTGACAGATGACAAGTGAAAACTCAAGGTACTCTAAAGTACTTGTTCCTCCCAATTCATATGGCTTCCACCTTGATAATATTCCAAAAAGTATTGAAAACCAGGATTTTTTTTCCAGATCTGGGGATAGGATGATGTAAGACTTGGTTATGTATGCTCAGAGAATTGTTGAGAATCAGGCATTCTTTAAATCTATGTAAATGAGAAAATAACATTTTCTCTTCAAAACCTGGATTATTTATTAATTTCGGATTCAGTTCTAGCAATGTTCACCCATGATAGTTCTGGAAATCAACAGGTTTGAAAAATTAAGATAAACAACCTACCCCTTTATTCTTGCTTCATTCATCACATAGAGGTCCAAATGATGCCCAATTCATTTTCAGTTATATTTGAGAGTAAGGAGGAAATTCTTATCTTCTTTCTGCTCACCTTCCCTGCTCCTTGATGCAATGCTTTTCCTACATACTGCACTGTTATTATACCAAAAGACTATACTTGTCTGAATGTAATTCTGTTGCTGATACAAAGTTGCCAAGATCAGATCCATATACGAAATATGGGCAATTTACTCTGAATCGTTAGCACTGACACATCGGATCAATAAGCCGTGCCTTTGTCGAAAACTGTGGTCCTCTTGCAAGTGCAAGACCTTGTACTACGATTGACATAATATTTTCACTCGACAAAAAATACCAGCACAAATATTAACTTACTGCTTACAATATGCATTTCCTTTTTCATAAGTTATCATATGTAAATTATATCATACATTAGGCAGAGCAAAGTATATAATCTATATGGTTTATTTATGTCCAATTAACAAACTTATTTTTATTGTAATGCAATCTTACTAACAATTTGGAATTATGTTAATAAAATCATTTCAGTGAATGCTACCTGTACCTGCTAATGTGGGGCTAAACCTTAATTTAATCCTGAGTAAACATGCATAGGGCAGCAGCATCTATCACTATTTGTTCTATTTCTATAATTTACCTACCATGTTCCTAAGATACTCAGTGTGGTACATCCAGAAATTCTCCATTTTGATGTTGCTGTTCAACAAGAAAATAATCCACTAGCAGATGGCGGCAAATTGCTTTTTCCAGTGGTATTATACGCTCAAGACTTGAAAATGAAGCCAGTAATAGGAGATGTTGCTGTGCTACCTATGTAGATTAACCTTCTCTGTTATTTAATAGCTGCAAGAAGGTCATTTTACTGTAGCGAACAAATCCTGCTCCATAAAAGGCTGTCAGTTGTCTATTCTTTTTATTTATTGCTTTGCAGGAGCCTATATGTATCAGAATTTAATCCTTACTAGTGGCTTCCACATAACAACAATACAGTAGCAAATACTATTACCAGCACGTGAAATAGAAAAAGCATTTAGATTATTTAGCTTATTTTAAATGGATTCATTATGTGTCATCAGGTCATTGTCAAAGCAACCATAGAGATAGATTTTCTCCGTGATTCTTTTAAAAACCAATGATAAATTTTAAATCCTTTCTACTGTGAGCAATGCAGAATTAAATACATACCAGCATAAATGAAATGTTTGTTTTAATCAATAAAATGCTATTACTGTACACTGTACAACATGTAAAGTAAATCTCATTTTGTTTTTAGGTATTTGTGTAATATAGCAATGTGCATTTTTGTTAAGACTGCAGGAACAGATAAAATAGGATTTACCACATTCGGCAAACATACTCTTCCTGGACTTCTGTCAGCCATCCCAGGCAGGCTAGACGGGAAACCCAACCAGATATGATAATAATACTTCACTGTAAGGCTATATTAACAGACTCCTGCAAATCTGATGGTACAAATGTCCCACCTACCTCTTTTACAGCTTGAGGAATTAGGGTCTCTTCTGAGTCTTTTTCTCTGACCCTAGGCAGCATCTCTCCCTCCCTCTGCCTCCCAAGGTCTTTTCCATACACCATTACAACTTCAGACTACTCAAAGTCAATTAACTAAATGGAAGAGCTCCGCTTTTTTTGTATCTCAAGGCCAGCAGAAATCCAGCCATCCGAAGGAATTTGGGAAGCACTCAATGATCACATGCATCGGGCAATGGGGTTATTTCAAATGTAGTAGCTTTTTTATTGGGACTTAAGAATTAGGCTGCACCGAAGAGCTGCATCACCCAAAAAAAAACTAATATTGGTGAAATGGGTCTTTTGGAAATCCAACATCAATGGAAATGGTAATTGTTTTGCAAATACTGCTCAGAAAAAAAATCAAATGCATGATTTCAATTTCAAATACATGATTTAAACATTAGTCTTTTGTATGCACACAAAAAGAAATAAGTCAAACAGCATGACTGATCTAACTGTTTATGATAAAAAAAATATGAAAGAATAAGAGCTTCTGAATGTGAGATGTACCATTTTAGTGATACTGTATCAAGAATCAGTCTTAGACCGGAACAAGAAAAAAAAGTGGGGAAAAAATGATATGACAATAGAATAAATGTAGGAAGAGAAACGATGCTATAGGCCAGCGGTAGGCAACTTCAGCTCTTTTATGACTCATGGACTTCAACTCCCAGAATTCCTGAGTCAGCTATACCCCTGCTATAGGCATTCCCTGCTTAACAATGGTAATTGGGACCAGAATTTCAACATCACATGACTGTGTCCCTTAGCAATGGCAGACCCCATTACTGTTGAAACGAAGACCATTAGTGATGGCTTCACATGACTACAACTTACAAACTTTCTGCTGGCTTCCCCATTGACTTTGCTTGTGGGAACCCAGCAGGGAAGGTCACAACTGTGACTGTGTGACCAAAAGACATTTCAATGTTTGGAAATCCAGATTGATTGCCAAGTGCCCAGATCGCAATCACATGACTGGGGGTGGGCTGTCACGGCCAGAATGTTTGAGAACTGGCTGTAAATACCAGTTGTGCCATCACAAGTTCAAATAGTCACTGAATGAGTGCGCTCATTGTAATGTTATTTACCAAAATCTAAGAGTAAGATGGGGATGTGTGTGTGAATGTAATGTGTGTTAATACAAATATCTGCAAATCCAGTTTGAATACAGGATAACCTATGTGCTCTGCAAAGAATTTATCCCAACTTTGTAGAAAAGTATAACTATGTAATAGAGATTGTAACATATTCTATACTAACTCCCCTGGCCCTGAACAATAAACATCTTCTAGCAAAATGGTGTCAAACGTGCGATGTCACATGACGTGTCATGATGTATCACAATTTTTTTCCCATTGCCGGCAACGGGGCGGGCGTGGTTTTGGCCGGCAGTTTGACACCCCTGTTCTAGCATATAAAGGTTGAAGAGTGGTGCATGCGTGCATGTGCGCGCGCACACACACACACACACACCAAGGCTCATGACATGTAACAAAATTATTAAATTCTCTTGTAAACTGAATTTCGTCATGTCTGCTTAAAAATCTAAATTAAAAAAAGCCAAAGTGATATGACACAATTATATTATATATTATATGGTTTCCTTGTGGCTGCTATAATTTTCAAATCAAGGTGTTTGTTTGCATCTTTTTTGTATTATTTATTTGTAATAGAAGCTGAACTAAGTTTGCTTGCAAAATAAAAGACACTGAACTAAGAGGAGGGGACAGCTAATAAATTAACAAAGGTCTGACTATTACAGCACTTAAAGCGTGTGCTATTTTGGGATGCAGATGTTCACTGTATAATTTTAGGCATTAGCACTAAATAAAATGCCCTCCCATCAGTGTGTTCTGAAGTGCAACTCCAAAACCTTTTTTTTTTAATAAAAAAAAAAAAGCAAAATGCTAAGCACTTCATCACATCCATATTGCTGGTCACAATTCTTTAGCCCCTTGCAGCACCTGAAACCTACTCAATTATTGAGTGCAACCTTCTCTATTCCTTTTATTAATAATAGATTGTCCCTGCTGTAGGAAAATAAAAAACCCAGAAGCTTTACAAAATAACACTTAGCATCGGATTCGGAACGAAGTTAAAAATAGAATGAGCATTACCTCAACAAAGAGGTGAAAACATACATTATCTTAAAAAAAAATGTTAAAACTCCAGTTCATTCAAGCCGTATTACCCATGTGTATAATTTTCAAAAGAGTATGAAAACAAATCTGTGGTGTCTGAAGCTTGCGAACCGAGCAAAGGCTGTCACCAACTGTTCTTCAACGTGGCTGAGAGGTATTCACTGTATGAAGTTATTGCTCTTTTGGTCCCAAAAGAGAGGACACACAAACTCAGGAATACCTTTATTCGATAAACATATACCTACGTAAAATGCAATGTCTTCTGAGGAAACTACTTTAAAATAATATGCATTAAAGCTAATACAGTGGTAATAATAATGGTTACTAAAGGAATCCTTTAAACCAGTGTTTCTCAACCTTGACAATTTTAAGGCATGTGGACTTCAACTCCCAGAATTCCACAGCCAGCTATGCTGGCTGTGGAATTCTGGGAGTTGAAGTCCACATGCCTTAAAATTGTCAAGGTTGAGAAACACTGCTTTAAACAGTGGTAATAATAATGGTTACTAAAGGAATCCTGCCTCTGATTGGAAAAATTGTGAGGGTCCAAAATGCCATTATCACAGACAATTTGAAATAGATCTATTTCACAAATGTTCTAACCACTTCTTTTTGAAGAATAGAATCTGGAGTTCACAAGTCTGAAATACCCAATCTGGGGTCAACAGGGAGCCCAAGAACCCATTCCTTGAGACCTGCACCGCTCCAGATCTTCCCTTCCAATGTTCAAAATTACATTGCTTTTTAACTGAGTGACCCACATGCAGTAAAGTAAAGTGCTAATTCTTCAGCACTGTATTTATTTCTAAAAATGTAAGGCTTTGGGGTCTTACATATATCCTTAGGGAAGAAAAATACAGGGTGCATTAATTTTGCCTGTGTTTTCCTAAGAAGTTTGCTTCTGTTTGTGTACTATGAGTACACAATTTTTCTTGCTTGTTAATTATATTTTAATATGCGGGCATACAGAATGAGTGTTTTGCCTGACTCTATACATACAAACAACACAGTTTTTCTTCTATTAAATGGATATTGCATGCTTTGTGGCAGCAAACAAATATGCAATATAGCATTTGGAGCTGAAACCTCGTTTTTGGCTTGTATGTTGATTTCTTGATGCAAGGTACTTCTCTCTGAGCCTAACTGGTACATCTTTTAAACAGTGGTCTAAAACACAAGATGTATCAGCATTGATTTATATTCCAAAATATTTTATGACATTCCGCAAATAATCCTAGCAGATTAATAGACAAATGAATACATTCAACTTACATAAGAAGTGATGCCTAGAGTACCACTGAAGAAATATAAAGAGCAAATCTGACCAAACCTGAGTAAAAGTCCATATATGGGCTTTCACTGTAGATGAGAAATATTTATGGATCTGGTAGGCAAAGTCACTCAGATTAGCTTGGAGATGGACTCTGACTGGGCAAGTTCTAATGAGTTGCCCAAGGAAGAGTCTTGTGATGTTATCTGGATTGAGTTTGATTCTTATGCTCAAGAAAGTGAACAAGATGTTCTTGCCTATTAGTCCATCCCCCTGCTTGTTAGATCCTGGCTTTCCTGGGTTATTAAAACAATCCAGAAGATGACCACGGGATGGGTTCATCTGGTGGTTTGGGCCTCTTTGAAAGAGAGGGTGATCCCACCAGCCTTGAAAGAGGTAGCAGTACATCCCTTCCTCAAGAGGTCATCACTGGATAATTGTTGAAGAATTTTCTCTGTTGGAAAATTATCAGCCAGTTTCAAATCTTCCCTTCTGATGGAGACTGTGGAAAAGGTAGTCGAATGACATCTACAAAGGATCTTGGAGGATCTTGTGATGTTATCTGGACCAGTTTCAATCTGGCACCAGGCCAAGGTACAATGCAAAGATAGCACTAGTCATGTTGCTGATGACTCTTAGTGGAGTCTTCAGGATGGGAGTGGTGTATCCATCCTAGGGCTCCTTGATATTTCAGCAGCTTTCTATACTTCAACCAGTGTTCTTCTGCACTGGCTATGGGAATTAGGAGTGGGAGGCACTGTGCCCCAATAGTTCACCTCCTTCCATAATGGTCAATTCCAGCCAGTAAAGACACGGGGGAAGAGATTGCATCTGTGGCCCCTCGTGTGTGGTATACATCAGGGCTTGACACTCTCTCCTATCCTGTTTAAGATCAACCTGAAACCACTTGATGAGGTTATCCACCCGGTAATGGGTGCCACTCAGAATGCCCACGTTTTACCACTGCTATGCAAATTGTATTGGTTGCTAGTTGGCTTCTGAGTACAAGTCAAGGCCTGATTATTACGTATAAATCTCTGTATGGGATAAGGCCTGATTATACAGAGGCTGCTTGTCTCCAACTGTTTTTGCCTGTCCAGTATATTCCAGAAGATGAGAGTCTCCAGGTCCCCTCCATTAAACACTGCCATTTAGGAGTTTACCTTCCTCTGGAACAGCATCCCTCCCAGACATTAGGGAGGCACCCACTCTGGGGTTCCAGAAAGCTTCGTAAATTTCACTTTGATTCCAGGTTACAGGTTGATATTTATTATTTTGTCATTTTTCCTACATATTAAATTGTGGGTCATTGTTGCTGAGTTTGGTTATTTTCTTGCAGATGTTTCAATACCAAACTAGGTAACATCATCACTGAAATGTCTGCAAGAAAACAACCAAACTCAGAGAGCACCAATGATCCCACAGTCCAATCCTGAGTTATACTCTCTTCTATCAGTGTATTAAATTATTTTAGTCTGGGCTGTCTGCTTGATTCAATGTTTTTAACTATTTTCATGTTTTTCCCAAGTTTTATACAATGTCCAGAGTCCACTGGAGTTGGGCAGTCAATAAATTAAAATAAACAAACAAATAAATTCTACCAAAATCTATTATGTGCACCTTTCTGGTATTAAATTTCCACAGAAATTTTTAAAAACTGGCACTTCAGCGCAACAATACCATAATGGGGAATTAGGGATGTTGTACTGAAAGCAAGAAAATTTTTGCAAGAAATACATATTGTCAAAAGAACTATGGTCATATATTTCAAAAGGGCTAACAACAGCTTAGCGTCGATGTTCTGTTTCTGCAGAGCAACACACTACTGATGACAAAAACAAATTCATTAGCACAAGTGCTTAGAATTCTTATCAAGAAAGTTCATGTTTTATGCAAGCCATCTTATTTTTTTCTTCCTTTTTCTTTGATATACAACAAAGATCAAAAGATAGCCAAGAGGAAGTTCATATTTTAACAATTATAATTTTAAAGCACATTTAAAACAAATAAATACAAAGTAATAATTTAATGAAAATTCTGACGTGTTTGCTTTCAAAGGGCAATTCAAAAATTGGTATACTCACATCTCCCTCTAGTGGTGTTTGATCCTCACCATCCCTGGTCGGGCTGATGTCCTGTCTCATCACCCAGATGGGTTCTTTGGGTTCATCTGGAGTATATGGAGAACGAATAGTCCTTGTTTTCACTTCCTCAATAGCTTCCTTAATGTCTTTAATTGCCAGTGATATGGCATCTCTTTTTTCCTTACTATATCTTTGCACTGATTCGCCTGCATTAACAGGTACTTTAGCGTTCATTGAAACCTGATTGCTACTTTCATGGCGCATATTAGCAGGAATGTTAGTGTCCTCATTTTGTTCTGCTTCTGGCATGTCTTCGGCAGCTTTGTCTAGGCTCTGAGAACTCATGCTTTGTTTGACTTCAGCTACTATTTGGTCTATATCTTCCTCTTGTTCGTAACTGTCCATACGAGGATACGGGGCAAATTCCGCCTCCTTTTCAGGGCTGTCGGACTCCCCGTCGGAGCGCTCATCATAATGGTGGAGTCGTGCACCCAAAGCTTCCTTTCGATAGTTGTCAGCTTCTTCTCTCTCTTGCTCATACAGTCGAAGACCTTCCCGCACGTCAAGGTCAGGTGTGTCACCTATCTCTTCATACACGTGTTCCTGCAGCCCATAATCAGCATAGGGCTCGGCATACTGCTCATCTTCCCCTCGGTGGAAGAGTCTGTGAGTGTACACATACCCAGAATACGCTGCATTCATGGCTTCCTCGTGCTCAATGGAATGAAAGTGCAAGTGGTTGGGAAGAGTTCGGTTATGAACGGTTTCGGCATGCTCTGACTCAGCATTTTCAATGTACTCTTCTGCTTCAGGTCGGTACTGCACCCCATAGGCACTCTCGTCCTCATTCTCCAGCACTCTGTCACCTTCATAGCTGTCTCCTGCTATGGCTATGACGTCTCCTTCAGCAGTGTCAGTATGATAATGGAAGCCACTTTCAGTGCTGGCTGACCGTGCTAAGGTGCTTTCCTCTTCTTGCCTAGAAGGTCGTTCACGGCTGCCATTGGCACATCTTGGGTAATGAATGGCATACTGTTGCTGTTCTTCCTCTACTTCAGAATGTTCTAGGTCTGCCTCTACAGATTCATTCACTTCTCTACTGCCTAGTTCATCACTGACCTCTCCTTCGGGTGGTCCTTCAAAATGGTTCATGGCAGGTTCTACTAGGTATTTCACCTATTCTACTGACATTTTGTGTGTTGAGGCTGCAAAGAAGTTACAAAAAGAACACCTTATTACATACAAAAAAAAGAGAGATTTTAAAACTCATTTCAACAATTATAAAAAATAAGCAATTTGTCGGCATTGCCACTTTTGCAAAAAAAAAAAGTCTCATAAGTAAGAATTCTCTACCTCTGGAATGGCAAAAATCAGTAGTTAACCATAAACAGAAACCACTAACAATAATTTGAGAGAATGAAATAGGAAGACTAAGTGTCTAACAGAACAGAATAGGCAGATTGATTAGACCAACAGTATGAGAAACATCAAGAAAAGAAATTATTGGAAATGGGAAAGAAAAAGGATTCAAAGAGTATAAATAACTACATGGAAAAAAAGAGAATAAAAAAATGTGTGCAGGTGAAATATTTGTTTGTATATGCTTGTAGCTATTTAGATATACCTACCAGAAGCCACATTTCAAAAAAAAGAGGCAGGGACTAGACAAAAATGAATCAATATTCATTTAATTATTAATTACTGATTGCAATAAATTGCTTGTTAAGTAAAGTAACCTATTCATAAAATTACTTAGCCCTGTACTTGCATGTACCAATAATTCTCTTTTACAAAGGTAGGTCATCTTTCCCCAAAGAACGTACAAGTGTGAACATATTTCCCTCTCAACAGAGTCAGAAAAGAAAATGAAAAAAAAATTCCAGAATGGAGATAAGCAGTGAGAAAGGGAAAGGAAAGGGAGCAGAATAAAATGGATGGAGGTGAAGCATGGGAAAGAGGTAACCAAACAGGAAAGGGAAAGAGAGGGAAGTCCTACTTAGTCATTAAAAAAAGGTTAAAAATCAGTGGGCAAGCAACCCCTGCCAAGTGTTAGCAAAACTTCAAAGACACCATTTTTATCCATGCTTTTCAGCCTAACCTTAGCCTGCCTCCATTCCTTTGTTTTTAACAGTATCTTATATTCTTGTCAGCTGAATTCAAAATGACCCCCTCACCCAATTCACAGTCAAGGTTGGTGGGGGATCCCAGGAAAAGACATCTGATTTAAGACCTGCAGAGAGGGGTTATGAAAAGTGGCAGAAATGTATTTTTATACTGCAGTGCTCAATGAAACCATCATCAAACCATACACTAAAATAAAATATAAATTGTAGTCATGGTTTACTGCAATGTTGTTTTTTTTAAAAAGGTATTTCCAAATTACTTTGAAATTTGTCACGTCAACAAATATCCGTAACACAAAGTCACAAATCTCTGAATTTAAGATTGAGTGGAATAAATAACACATTACTCTTTCCACCAATCCCACTGACTGCAGTACTACTGGGGAGACAATTTCATTACTACTCATTACTGGAATTGCTTGCACACATTATTTTAAAGCTTTATTGCTAAATCAAGAGGTGGTAATTAGCTATAACTCTCTCTAAGCAGTGGCCAGGACAATTGAAGATAACTAAATTAAATTAAACAAAGAGACCCCATCCCCACACCCTTCTCCCACTTCCCCTCACACTTTCAAACTGTCATAGAGAGATTCTAGGTGGATTCAGCTTTCTAGATGGATTCAAAATGGAGACAAACAGAGAAAGAAGGAGCCTGATAAGCTCACATCCACCATTCAGCTTCTGGGAACTTTACATCTTTAAAGAAATGGAATGGTCCTTGGGGCACACATCACCCAGATCTTGTCAACGGAGGGGTTTAAGCCATCCCAGACGCAAGCTATTCATTCCAATGGAGAAACAAATCAATCAAGCAGGAATGTTAACCCTACCAGGACTATAACAGACAAAGACTTAGTAGAGAAAAGCATGTTCAAGAGGCAGTTGAATATAATTCCTATCTGCATTGCCCACAGCTAAGCGATTCTTGTAAAGAGTTGAAACTATTAACCCGATGTCCTCTGAGGATATAAGAAGTTTTTCATTAAGTAGAGTTCCAACTTTATCTTCCAATCAAGTTATGTATGAAAGAGGTATAACATTTTAATCATAGTCTGACATGCTTCAACTGTTAATTCATGGATGCTCGCAGGCTTAAAGATGAAATCAAATCTTTTAGTAAAACAAATGCTAAGGGAAGGCCAACAAAATAAAATACTCTAATGTGTGAAGGAGGCATGAGTTCTTCTCCCATCACCAGTAATTTTATTCTGATCCTATAAACATGTAGACTCAAGGAATATTGTGTGAAAAAGCAATAACAAGGACTGCCGGATTTTGGGTTGTACCAAACAGAGGCTAGATTTTTTTTCAGCCATTCTTACCTGAAAGAGTAATCCCAACAATTAAGGGTAAACGTGGCAGGGGGCAAGTAAAAAAAGTCAAGATAAAAAGATTGTGTAACTCAAATCCTGCTCCTGCTACAAATGGGTTGGGACTTGCTCACACACTGCATTGCTGGATCTTAAAAAGCCAAGCAGCATTTTTTTTTTACTGGGCTTTGGATGTTGTGGCTTGGAATTTAATTTCAGATAAAAAACAGTCTAGGTGGGATTAAATGTTTACCCAAGTAACAACTGGGAAACAGTAACTGAAGGGAAGAGGAGGAGAGAAATGTTAATCTTAATATTCATATTAAGAAAAGTTAATCTCAATTTTTTAATTCTTTTGATCAGTATTGTTAGTGGCAGGGGCAGGAGTAGGGAGTTAAAACCTTTTTATAATTGCCAGCAACCTTTATCAAGATGAACTTTTGTTATTAAGGAAGCTATCTCAAAACCTAGCCAACAGGTAATAAGATGTATAGATGAATCAAATATTATTCATAGTCTAAGGCAGTGCTTCCCAAATCGGGATAAATCACCCCAAATTGGGTAAAAGTAATTTTTTCTTCGGGTAATGACACATGAACCTATTATCCAATCACAAGAGGGACATTTAAATAAAGATGTTATAAGTGGCAAGAAGAACTTTCTGATAAATGGTTCCGGGTAATGAAAGAAAAAATTGGGGAAGCAGTGCCTAAAGCAGGGGTCCCCAGCCCCCGGTCCATGGACCAGTACTGGGCCACGGCATGCCAGCAACCGGTCTGCACAAACAAGCAAAGCCCCATCCACGAGATGCAGGCAGCAAACAAAACCACACACCCTCCAGTCTGTGGAAAAACCTCTCTCTACGGAACCGGTCCCTGGTGCCCAAAAGGTTGGGGACCTCTGGTCTAAAGTAAGTAAGCACTAGGGAGCAGCAACTGTCACACTTACTAGAGTTCATGTTTTCAAACATTGTTACTATGGCTATCTACTACTACTACTACTACTACTACTACGACGACGACGACTACGACTACTACTCCAGAACCTCAAGATACTACACTTGAAGTCTGTCTTTATAAATATCCTTTGGGTAGATTAGAGTGGGAAATTGCCCAAAGAGCATCAAATTTGCATTGCAGTTGATCAGGCATTTTGCATGCAAAAGACTGGCTCCAGTGGTCAAGGTTCAATTTGTTATTCAAACAGTGGCCTACTTTATGCAGTGACCATACAATACTTTACATACAGATTGCCAGATTGTATTTTTTTTAATTAGGGAGAGGGTTTTTATATTTTTAAAGTCTTTTTTGTATTTTAACACACACACACACACACACACACAGAGAGAGAGAGAGAGAGAGAGAGACAGAGACACAGAGAGAGAGAGAGAGAGACAGAGAGATATTTTCTTATATTGCCTGCACAGCACTACACAAGAAAAGCACATAATCAGAAGATTTACATATGTTTACTATTTATTAAACATATTTGCATGCCACTGCAATAAAAAATGACTCTCGATAGCTCACGTAAAAGATACAATACACTATATTGTAAAGCAAAATGCATATAAAAATTAAAAATACATAATATCACAATAAAAATACAATAATGAAACAAGTCAGGGGAAGGGCCCCACAAAAGTTCCATCTTTAGAATCTTGCAGAAAACCAACAAATACGGAAGCCAGCCTGATCGCCACCGGAAACCTCTTTGACAATATTGATGCTGCAATATAAAGTCCCCTGAAGCTTCTCAAAGTGTGGATCTTGCAATAGTTTCTCCCTTCTAGATTCAATTTGGCAGGCTGAAGTTGGCATGTGCAACTTCAGCCCATGAAGGGCTTTATAGATTAAAAAAACCCAGAACCAGACTGAACCCAGAAACCAACTGGCAACCAACGCAATGCAGGGGCAACTGCATTTGGAAGGAACTAAGTGGACTTTCCAAATATTCTCAAATCCAAACAGAGAACATTACAGTAGCCTAGACGGGTAATGCTAAGGGCATGAGTAACTTGCCAGCAACAGAAACATCAACTGAAGTTGGGCACAAGCTCCTTTGGCAATGGCTTCTACCTGTTCATCTAGAGGGAGTCAGGAATCAGGACGAACTCCAATTATCCATTCCTTATTTTATGGGAACCAGAAAGCAGATTTGCCAAGGCAGAAGATGTCTAGATAAAACTAAAGATGTAGTATGATTGTTTGCAGGAGCGTTCCTCCATACACAGGTTTGGACTCATTCTTAACTTGGCTAAGAATGAGATACATTGAGATATGAACATGCCAAGGTAGCCAGAATGCAAGTGATTCTCATTCTATAGGAATAAAAAGTACGGTAGTGTTTATTTTCAAAATGGGGCAAAAAGGAGTTATTTCAAAGAGGAGGTCATGTTACCTTTATTATTTCCTTTTCCTGTACTTGTGAGGAACCTGAGCATACAATGTTCAAGATACAATGCTGTCTTGTAATTTGGTGGCAAGTATGGGCCTTTATGAACATTTCTCACTGAACAGGTTTCAGGTTTGAAATAGTTAATTCAATCTATCATGCCACATCAGATTTACCTTGAAGTCACCTTCCAATTTAATTCAAGCAGTGAATGGTTTTCTGTTGGTTGAATTAACTGATCAGAGACAGCTGAGTACACAGTCTGCTTGTTTCCTAAATACAATTAAAACCTTAACGAAGAATGGCACTCTGGATTTAGATCTCAAAACAGAAAGAACCATGCATTTCTAAATAGGCCATGACCAAATTGGGACC